CTAAAGAATCTTCCACTGTTTGCTGTGATCCACACAGTCAAAGGCTTTAGCACACTCAATAAAGCAGAAGTTTTTCTGGAATTCTCTTGTTTTTCTATGATCCAACAGATGTTGGTAATTTGATCTCTGGTTTCTCTGCCTTTTCTAAATCCAGCTGATACATCTGGAAGTTCTTGGTTCACATACTGTTGAAGCCTAATTTGAGGGATTTTGAAAATTACCTTGCTAGCATGTGAATGTGAGTAATTGTATCATGAATTGTCCATTTATACACTGTCAAAGTGTTAGTAGGGTTTTTTAACATTTTAATGGATCTGTTGGGCTTCATTTTTAAATTCCTAATATTAATCCCTGATACCCCTTGAAGTTTTTTCTCCTTATATGAATTTTGACTTTTTACTGTGTTATTTTTTTCTTTAGAAACTAAAAAGAAAAATTTAGGTGGACGTGATGACAGTCCTTTCCTCCATGTCTTTGGAATCATGTTATTATGTGTCAGCATCACCTTGCCTGAGTTTCAAGAATATTCACATACATTTTACCCAGTTGCTTTGATTTCTTTTAGGTTTAGATCTTTAGTCCAACTGGAATTTGAAGTAGATCTCTAATTAGTTTTCAAAGGTATAAACATTTTCTCTAAAATCACTTGTTGGGGAGCCTTCTCCCCTGGTGGCTCAGATGGTGAAGAAACTGCCTGCAGTGTGGGAGACCTGCGTTCGATCCCTGAGTTGGGAAGATCCCCTCAAGCAGGAAATGGCAACCCACTCCTGTAGTCTTGCTTGGGGAATTTCATGGACAGAGGAGCCTGGTGGGCTACAGTCAATGATATTGCAAAGAGTCAGACACGGCTGAGCGACTAAACACACTTTCATTCTTCCGCTGTCTGGAAATGGCATCACTATCACATGCTACATTTCCATGTGCACATCTGTTTCCAAAATTCTATTTTTTCCATTAATTATTTCCTGTGGCTACACTGGTCCTAGGTAGCTTTAATTATTTTAGATTTATGTAGTGTATTTTTATATCATTGATATCACTACTCAATTGCTTTCCAAATGTTCTTGGCTGCTGTCATGCATTTTCTTTTTTAGTCTCCAAGTTCTAAAATTTCTCCTTCCCAAAATAATCATTGAAATTTTCAAGTGAATTGTATTGACTTTACCTTATAATTAGGAGAGAATTGATATTTTAACATGATTAGGTACTCATATCCATGAATACAATATATATTTTAAGTCTTCTTTTATGCCTTAGCAAAGTTCTATAGTTTCTGTTTTCATACTGTTCTTGCACATTTACGTTTACATCCAGTTATTTTGTAGTTTTAATTACTGTTTTAAATGGGATTATTTTCCATTACATTGTTTGATTAATGATTAATTAATTAATGATTAATATGCCCTAATGGTATATAGTGTTAATGACATTCACTTGTGGACTGAATTTTCTCATTTTATTAATGTTGTCAGTAATTGCTTTCGTTCAGGTGTTTGGGATCAGCACACTTCCTCTGTGAAGGGGCAGATAGGAAATACTTTTGCCTCTGCAGGAGCCCTGTGGCCTCTGACTGACTCTGCCGCTGCAGTGTGAAAGCAGCCCTAGGCAATAAACGTGACCGTGTTCCAATAAAGCTTTATTTACAAACTAGCCTGCTGGCTAGATTCAGCTCTTGGGCATGGAACAGGGTGTGCTGACTATATCCTATGGATGCAAATATATTGTATATGAATAATACGTTTTTTCTTGTCTCCAGAACAGTAGATTTCAGAAGAGTGTTGAATAACAGAAGTGATAAAGTCACTCGTTCTTTATTTGGTGTTTGGAATTGTGTTGATATTTCACCATTAAGGTCAATGCTTCTTATTCTTTTAAAATTTTTGGTAGATATTTTACCGAGTTAAAAGTGGTTTCATCTTTTCTTAGGTTACTAAGAAATTTTAGTAGCAGTGTGATTGAATTTTATCAAATCCTTTGTGAATCTCTTAATATTCACATTTTCCCTATTATTCTCTTCATAAATATAAATGAAATATCTTATACAAATGGTCCTTGAATTAATGGAATAAATAATTCCATTTCCTGTATTTCATCAAGGATTTCTATATCTACATTCATAAATTAAGTTACAGTTTTCTTTCTGTAATATTTCTTTGATTTTTAAAATACTATTTTAACTTTTATAGAATGAATTGATAAACTTCTCATCTTTTTAAATGTTTTGAAACACTTTAATTGATATGAAAATTAACTATTTTTTTCAGGTTTGCCAAAATGTCCAGAAACCATTTGAGTCTAGTGAATTCTTCAGTGAAGGGCTGCGCCATTTCCATTTTGTCTGTTGTTTATTGATCTTTATGAAAAAGAGCCTCTTTGTCCTGGTGGCTAAAGGCTGTGTGCTATGTGGGGTCCATCCATCTAGACTTGCCCTTATGGGAACTGTTCAGCTGAGTGGATGTTGAGGGCAGAAGAAACTTGTCATGGGTTAGCATATGCTCCCATTTCTGCTTGGTTCCAGAATGGTTAAATTATACAATAGACAAACATAGAGGGGAAGCAGAAAAGGCAGAAGAGGCAAGCTAGAAAATAATTGGAGAGGAGAAATGCTGAGCTACTCTGGAGTAGCATAGAGGGCAGGTACCCCTCCAACTTCTACTTCCCCCAGAGGGAGCAGGGTTGGGCTTTTTAATGGCATCACTGGTTCAAGGGAAGAAGAGATTTTGCATTTTGGAAAACTGGATGGGCCTTTAGGCTCCTGGAAACCTTGGACTTCCCTCCCCCTGCCGAGCTGTCAGGTCATCTTTGGTGGCCCACAGCAGCCTCAGTTCCAGGTGTTGGGGGTCCTGGGTTGTAATCCTAGCTCCGTCCCCGCCACACCCTAGGATCCCGGGATGCAGCCTTTCCTGGGGGTGGGGTAGGAAGTACGAAGACCTCACCCCCACCCCCCGCCGCAGCCTGCCTTCCCTTCTCATGCTGGTGTCGGGGGCAGGCACCTAGGGAGTCCCCCCCTAAGCCCTGGCCAGCAGCACCTTCTCTGTAAGACCATCTGAGAGGCCAGGGCGGCCTGCTGTGCGCGAGGGGAGCCACCAGCGGAGGACAGAGCGATTGGCCAGAGGCTCTGTCTGTCCTGCTGCTGACCTGCACATGTGAGGGGCCTGGATGGGACAGCTCAGCGCTTGGGCTTGTTTTACTCCAGAAATGGAGTAAAATATATGAAAGATGTATTTTTGTTTTCTTTAGAACCTGGTATACAGGGCAGGGAGGAAGAGACTACAGGCAGAACCAGTGGAAAGACCTCAGGGCGGACGCGGCGTCCCCCGGGGTTGACTCTCAGGAGGGTCAGTGTGCTGGTGGGCCAGGGGGCAAGGCTCCTTCCAGTCACAAACTGCAAACGGATGCCCACAGGCTCTTTATTGTATTTTGTTTACTGGTTTTTGAGATCAGAGCAAAAATTAGATGTGATTCAGCTTTTCTGCCCAAGGTTTTAAATGTCCTTCTCTGCGTGTGGAGGAAGGCCCTGAGCAGCCTGGAGAAGGAGCCGGGATCCGGAGCCGGGAGAACGGGCCGCAGAAGGCCCTGCCCACGGCCTGAGCTAGGGGAGAGCCACACAACAGCAGGAAGAACCAGCTACTCATGCTTTTCAGACTCTCCTATACTTGGCAAAGCTTTTCTCTCGCCAGAGAGCTGTGATTACTTTTACAAGATTGCTGGCCCAAAGGCAAAATCTCTTCAAGCTGAAACCCCGTCTGCACTGAGCTTCAGCCACAGATCAGGGGGCGGGAGGATGGAGACTGAGGGGCTGGTGTACTTGTTCTCAGGCGGGGGTGTCAGCCTCTGGATGAAAGCCATGGCCTTCCCCTGGGGGCGACATTTCAGGTTCCAGGTAGCCAGGCCCCAAAACATGGTCCCTGTCCCTCAGCTGCCTGACCTTCCTTCCATGGCTCAGCCCTGATGGAAGGCTGTGATGCTGAGAGGCTCATGCCATCCAGGGTGCTGTGTGTGAGGGGGGTGGGGGCTCGGGGAGGCCAGGAGCCTGAGGAGGTCTGGGGGGGTGGGTGTCCCACAGGGACACAGAAAGGTCCCTGCATCAGCTTATTCTTCCAGAACCTACTTATCCTGAAGTCCTGCTCCCACCTGTATGACAGTCGCCCTCAACCTGTGTTTGTAAGTGATAATGGACTTCTGCATGAACCATGTTAAACAAAGCCGCAAGTTTTCTGGAAATGATGGGTATCACCCCAAGCATCAGGGAGACTGTGACACAAGAGGTGGCCCCTGGAGAGGGAGGGCGGGCTCCAGGTGCTGGGCAGCCAGCGGCAATCTCCCCACCCATGCCCGCCTCCCACCTGTGCACCCCATTCTCCCCGCAACCCCTCTTAAGGGCAGCTCAAACGAGAAACCTCTTGATTCCCTTAGCTGTTCAAGGATTTCATCTCAACACAACTTCCCTCAGCACTAGTCATTTCTTGATGGGCTCAGAAAGGCTCCCCCACAGGCCCGGAGTGGGGACGGGGTGGGGGCAGGTCTTCCCCATGGGGGAGCGCCGCTGGGGAAGAGTTAGAGCAGCTGGGCCTGAGGCCCTGCACATGTGGTTGTGGTTTGTTAATGCCTCAGACTTCCCGTGTTTATGATTGAGCAGAACCACAACTTGCTATAGAATCATCATCAAGGAATTCCCTCTTGGCTCTGGAAGGAGAAGAGACTACGCAGGGAATCCAGGAAGGTTTGCCCTGCATTGCAAGGTGCTGGGACAGTCAACTCAGGCTAGGGAACCCTCCACTAACTGAAGTGCACCAGGCCCTACGGTGTGGATGGGGGAGTGGGGAGCCTGTGGGCAGAGGGCACATGGTCTAACTCTCCATAATTTCTCCTCAAATTTGCAGTTTTGAAACTAAAACTGCTCTAAAAATAAAGTTTATTAATTAACTTTAAAAAGTTGTCAGGAAAGGACATCTACAGTAGGTCAGATATGATTAATAACTATTATCAACACTGCATTGTTAACAAGAATACAATGTTTTTATAAGATACTTATGAGTAAAGAACACGAATAGTATACATCTAGTTTTTTAATACTCCATATACAATCAACATGTTTTGATCAACAGTGTAAACCATATAAAAGAGAATCTTGCTTTCCATTTGTACAAATATTGATTTCATCACAGAAAAACGTTATAATGTTAAAATGTACCATATATTAGAGGCTATACAGCTATTGCTTACTTGTTTAAAAATGAAATTACTGCTGCCTGAGGCTACTTGATTACATCATCACCTCTAATATATCATCAGATCCACAGTACGTCTTCCTTTCCAAAATTTCAAATCATACAGAGAGATTACTTTGTAGCCAAATTAAGTCAAAAGGATTTCTTTAAGAAAAAAAGTAAATGCACCTAAAAATGTACAGTTTTATCTACCAGGTGATATAGTAGGGATTCTTAGTACTTCTGCTGGCAATTCAGACAGGAATTTGTAACCTCAGAGGGCATACTGTACTTGTGGAAGAGAAAATAATACTAGTTATTGCTTCAGGTTTTGTCCTATATACATATAGGATATATGTATATTCCTTCCTCCCTGGGCAGTGATGGCTGCGCAGTGGCTGGAGGCAGGGCAGCCAGATGGTTGACAAGTAACAAGGATGCTTGCTATCCGTCTACCTTTGACAGAGGACATGGAAGAAGGGGTCTGTTTTACATTTCTTTTTCATCAGTGGATTAGGCCCTCTCCCCATCCATTCAGGGTCCTGACCCGCAGCGACGGATGCAGGGGTCTTCATGCTTAGAGTTCGCCCAGTGCTGACATTCCTACACTTGGATCATCTATCTGCAAGTCCATACACCTGTGGTGAATGCCTAGGCTGGTGGTTTTCAGCTTTGGCTGTACATCAGAATGATTTTAGGAGCTTTACAAAGTATAAATCCTGGGTTTCACTGGCCTGAGGCACTGTTGGGCCTCAAGATTTTCAAAAGCTCCCCTTCCCCCACCACCATGATGTCATTATGCAGCCTGAGATAAAAACCCCATCGCTAGGATGGCTATGCTTAGTTTGGAAGACTGCTGGTGGTGTTCATCAAACATGCTAAACATTAGGGCTCTGCGGGTATTTCTGGTCTGTCTTGTAAATGTGTATCAATTGTAAACACAAAAATAATCTATATCGGTCAGATTGGTACACATAAACCAAGAGAGCTCTGTTATTGTTTTTCTTACATTTGCAAAGTCCCATCGGCAGATGAGTGGTGCACAGCATGAAGCTGATACTGTCTATTAGTTGTAATAGACAGTGGTTCTTTCCCACTGAATTGCCCCAGAGTCAAATGAACCTGATTCAGACAAAGAAACTAAATGTAATTTCATCCTTTTCTCATTTTATAAATATAAAAATGACTCTCCTCTTCATCAGGACAACAACGTAGGCCAGTTCTGCAATGACATTGTGCCTTTTTACGAGAGAGACTTTTCTCTTGCTTCAGTTAAATCCCTTTAAACAACAATTATAACTGTTAATGTTAAAATTGTTTAAACAACAATCTCGGTTTGAAATTTTGATTTTCTTGCAGTCTTTCTGAAGTAAACTATTTCCTTTAGTAGAAAAATGAGTTTTCCTAAAAATATACTTTACAAAGCTCAGTGCTCTAAAAAGTTACAAAAATAGACTTACATTTAAAAATCCTGTTGGAATGTCTTTTATAGCACAAAAATGTGTGCCCCTGATGTGGCTGATATGACTAGAGGCAAGAGACTCTATTCAGTAATGTTTTACAGCCTCAGCAAGGAAAACAAAGATCATTACATTGCAATAATGTGCTTGTCACCAAGTAATAAATGCAGAACAGACATTAAGGGCAACTTCAAGAACCATCACTGAGGTGAACAGCTCGCTCCCTGTAGCAGGAGATGGGATTTTTAAACCAACTTCTTAGAAAAGAAACTGTCCAGGGCTTTCTCAAGGCTCAGATTTGGGGTATCTGCCACTTTTGAGGTGAGTTAGCTGCTGGTGACAAGGAATTAGGGGCTTTGGAATGGCCAGCAGCAGCCGAGGCTCCAGGCACACCAGTCATTCTGGTGCTGCCTCAGGAACCTCTTCCACACACATCGTCTGATTCTGCCCTGATGGGGGGCACAGTGTTGATGCATAAGCTAGTACAAGGGAAGGTGACCTGAGATGAGGGTTTCCACTCTGGGTGTCCATTAGAACCACATGGGGAGCCCCTGGAATTAGATTAAACTGGTCCTTTCGAGCTTACAGTCAGTCCTGATGGGCGGTGCAGGTGAGTAGGGTGAGCCACTACGGCCCGACAGCCCGTCCTGCAGCCCCAGACCTTGCCTAGCGCGCCACGAGAGGGAGGCCGTCAGCCCAGGCCCGAGTCTCCCTGAAGGCCATTTTCTTTACACAGCTGTTGCCCAAACTTTGGTGCCCATCAGAATCACCAGGGGAGTTCTGAGAAGCGCCCGGCCCAGGCTGCAGCTGAGACAAATTCAGAGTCTTTTTGGTTGGGACCCAGGAGACACCCAAGGGCAGTCAGCCTGAGAACCACTGCCTGTCTGCTTCAGCCCTTCATGGTTCATGCATCTCTGCAGTTTTGACAGGGGAAGGCTAAAGCTCAAAATTAAGAACTTTCAACAAACCTCTAAGCCTTGCCATCAACTGGAGTGTACTCTGCACCCTCCACTGTGCTCCTAGTTGTAAATCAGTTGACAACCTGAACTCTGGGCAAAGTTAGAGTTTGGAAGATTCATCTCTATCTTGAGGTGACAGAACTATTTTTCATAGTGTGAGATAACAGAGCCTCCTTAAAGATTATGTGATAAGATGTACATAAGGCCCACTGGACAGCTGACTCTAGAACAGCCCAGGTCGGGGCCCTGACCCTCTGAGCAGTGGACTCGCCTGTAACTGTACACAGTTGGCTCTCCGGAGCTTCTGGTTCTTTAATCGTGAATTCGGCTGACTGGTGCTCATGTGGCCTATTGTGTCTGCTATTGAAGAAATCTGTGTCTAAGTGGACCCACACCGTTCAAACTCATGAGGTTCAAGGGTCAGCTGTGAACAGCCTCTCACTCTTACCTTCCCTGACCTGTTTCTGAAGGCCTGGCTTGACTGGGCAGTGGGGAAATGCTCCAGGGACTGGCTGGGGAGGAAAACAGCAGACAGGCTCCCTGTGGGGCCTCAGGGCTTGGTGTCCACGAGCAGAAACCCAAGGGGTGAGGGTGAAGCTTTGAGCGGCCCCTCAGAGCCCCGAGGTGTGAGAGCTCCTCTCCTGACTGTCCAGGGGGCCCCGGAACCGGACTCAGGCTGTGCCCTCTTAGGCTCTCGAGAGTCTACAGACCCTGGGAACCTCCCTGGACAGACACAGTGAGAAAACTGGTGGAAACACAATGTTTAAGAAAATTTAGTGAGTAGATTTTATGCCAGGACATTGAAATACAAAGAAGAAAAATCTTGAATAGTTCTCTCTACTTTATTATGTGACAGTAAAATGTTTCAAATTACAAAAATACTAAGCTCTCACTGATGCAATTGACCAGGATGTTGTGGGGCTCCCTCATCATCTGTCTCCTGACAAACTAGTGACAGCAGAATGTGGGTCATCCTGTCTCTCAGCGCTGGATGCGTATCTGGCTAAAGCACTATGTTCTGAGGTGAATAAATAATGAGAGTGGTTTGCTGACAAGGACATAAAATTTCAGATTCTTAGAGACGTTGTTTAATCTTTTCACGAATCATTTTTAAACCCCCAGTGGGGGTGGACCGGAAGGGCACTTGGGGAACATGCCAAGCCTAACGCCAGCCTTGAAGGGGCGGCGGCAGCGCCTGTGGAGCTGCCGAGGAGAGGCTTCTCCGGGGCACACGTTCAGGGCCGGGCTCTCTCTGCTGCACTTTCCAATCCTTGCTGGCTGACGCCCCAGAGGTCCTCCGACCCGACTCCATGCCCCTCCACCCCAGGCACCCTGTGCTGTCGCCGTGCTGGGCTGACCAGTCTGGCCTGGCATCTGTCATGTCATTTTCAGGCTAGTATTTGTGAGTCAATTTTCGTCGCTAAATTGTGAATTTTGTGGAATCAGGTATTATGATTTATTTTTTATCTTTAATACCTATGCCAGGCTGGTAAGGTGTTAAAGTGTGCAACATGATGGAACTGAATATAGTTTATATTTCTATTGAGACAAAATTAAATACTTTGATAGCAAAACTGCGGGGCCCTGATCCACCTGAGTCAGTAAATAATTTAAAAGCTAAAGGAAAATTGTGTGTGGGGGGGGAGTGGGGAGCTGAATAAAACCATGGACTGAAAATACTGTCTGAAACACTTCTTCCTGGCTGAGATGGATGCTGACTAAGAGTGTTTACAACACTGTCTCCAAAGAGCTATGTAACATTCAGGGTTTGGGGTGAGAAACACGGATCTGATGGGAAACCACAGATGAGAAAAAGCTTGTGTCCTAAGTAGAGGGTCCTCCAATTACGGGCAGCTATTTTAAGAGGGAATTGTTTTCTTCTGCCCACGCATCTGGAGATGTTATGAAGGCGTTATCATCAACTTCAAAGTCAAATTTCATATTTACCTGATTTCCATGTGACACATGATGCAGTCTCTATTCAACTGTGGAGAGTGCCACTGTGGTGAGGCACTCCTGCACGCCCCCGCGCCTGGACCCTGCAACTCACCAAAGGCAGGGAGGGATCTGGGCAGCCTCCAGGTGAGGAGCAAAGTGCCTTTTGAATAAAAAACCCTTGAAGTAAAATGATTATCTTCTAGGAGTAGCCCAAACAAATTTTTGTGTGTGTGTGTGTGTCGGGGGGAGCGTTGGGGGAGCTAAGAGAGTTTCAAGAGCAGCATCACATATGCAGTCTTCAGACAGACACATGTCCCCCGACCTCCAAAGACTTGATATATTTCCTCTAAGACTCGAATTTGGGGGATTTGTTCCTTTCTTGTGCTGTCATTCCATCTCAATTAAAGGCAATGGTCTGAATGCCAATGAATCACATATACGCTGACCGTGGTTACCGTTTTGCTGTATTGGGAAAACATACTGGGTTTCAAAACTATGGAATGGAAAAATAAACAAGTCTAATACTTATAATTAGAAAACACTGGTCACCCAAAGGAGAGAGGAGTACCGTGGAGACATCTATATAAAAGAAAGTCTGAGGAAGAATTCTCCTCCCTCTGTATCTTCCTTGCTCAGGAAGAGTTCAAAGTGGCTTATTGTCTTGTACCTGCCTTGATCTGATATAGTACCAATGTGGCCTGCTGAGGACCCAGAGGACTGGCTGGTTATTCAACTGTCTTGCAATGGAGGAGTCTCCAAGCAGAGCCGATGGAATCAAGTGCTGGCTGGAAGGCTGGCCCATGCATCTCAGTCACAGTTGGGCCTGGGTCAACTCAGTACCACAGGTGCTATGAGCAAAGCTTTTTCCTTATTAGAAAAACTCATTAAGAGTAAAATCCGTGTCAATGAAAAAACCCCAGATGTTCCTAAGCAATAAAACTCCTTACACATATTTAGTATTTTTCAAATATACCTCGCTGGAAGGTGAACTTCTGCCCAAACGGACAACATTGTTTCTGGATGCCTTCTGTGGAAGCCTCACAGCTTGAAGACAAAGGAAAGTCCCTGCAACTTTGCAAAGCGCATCTGAGTCGGGGGCACTTCTTGGTTGAAAGGTGGGCTGATCAGGGCAAATATGGACAAACCAGTCCATGGGTCCAAGAGTTAATGTCGGCATGGTGGTCAGGACTCAACAGCTGCCATGGCTTGGTCCTGGGGGCTGAAGGGGCTGGAAGCTTATGGCTGATGTTGTCCTCCATGGTCAGGCCCCAGTAAAGTCACTGCCTGCTGGTGCTGCCCGCAGGTATTCTGCATTTTCAGCTGCAGGCCCCTTAAAGATGCCATTCGACTTGGCTTCCTTGGGGAAGAAGGCCTGCTGGTAGTCAGGGTTGTCTAGGCTAATTTGGTAACTGCCCTTCTGAGCCCAGAGGGCAGGGCCGTCGAGCACACCACTGACATAGGCAGGGTGGGTAGTGTTGAGATACTCAGGGTTGTCCACGGCGTTGCTGCGTGAATTTTGGTACTGAGGGTCTCTGCCAGGAGCTGGATACAGAGGCTGATTGTGATAGACAGGGTTCTGGACAGAGCCTGCGGGTCTTTTGGGAACAGACTGGTTTACATATTCTGAAATTGAAAAGAAATCAAGTGTAATCAGCAAAGCATCATCCCCAACAGGATTTCACAGCTCTTTCTGAACCCTGTGACTATTCTTCAATGTGGCACTGGGCGACAGAGGCCGGGAAGCCTGGGGAGAGGACTCTCTTGCTAAAATGCATTGTGTTCTTTTCGTACTGCTCAGAGCAACGAGCATGCTTTTCTTTTGAAAGTTTAAATAAAGTTTTCAGAGGACTGCTTCCCTTTAGATGTGTGTTTGTGCAGGATGGCTCTGTCTGGGGACAGAGCTTAGATTAAGTAAATACATGCTTCACAGGCCAGAAATGGAGCCAGGAGAGAGAACAGCGATCTATTCTGTCTCTCTCTCACACACACACACACTCTCTCTCATATTTCTCACACACACACTCAATCTCTCAAGCGCTCACATATGTATACCTTTACTGTTGGCTTCAAATTCTAGAAAATCTGCAGACTCCTTCTCAAGACAACCTGGACATGCCTGGACCCCTCAGATACCCATGTGCATACTTGGTCGTTGTCTATCGCCTGCCCTCTTTCTCCCTTCCTTTTGGCTACACTCTCACCGTGGGCTTCACCTCTGAACCAGCTTGCAGGAAGCAGCTGGCCCCGCCCCGGGCCTGAGGCCATGGAACAGGACTGCCCCCGGCGAGAGGACTCACCGGGTGCCGGGAGGAAAGCGTCGTCCATGCTGTCCTCCGTGAGGGCACCAGTGGGGTCTGAGCTGTAGCGTTGCAGGAAGCTATCTTCCTTGAGAGGGTAGCTCTGTCGGGAGGAGATGAGGCAAGGTTAACTCCAGCCAGTGCTGCTCACTTCCACGGGGACAGAGGTCACCTGAGAGCTTGCTAAAACGCAGATTCTGATGCAGGAGATCCGGGGAGGACCAGAGATGCTGCACTTCTAACCACTTTGCCCACAGGTGGTGCCTCACTCCTGGCCCAGACCACAGGGCAAGTGGATGGCCTGGACCAGGGCTGTCCAGCAGGGCTCTTGGCAGTGACAGATGTGTTCTGTAATCTGCGCTCTTCCATACGGTAGCTCCTTACCACATGTGTGAGGAATGGCATTTTAAATTTTATTTAACTTTAATTAATTAAAAGTTAAATTTAAGTAGCCACACATGGCTAGTGGCTTCTGCATTGGTAAGTGTGGGTCTAGTCAAGGCTTCACACATCAAGCATCAGCATCGCCTGGAAGGCGAGCTCACAGATGGCCAGACCCCTCCCAGCAGATCCTGCGTCAGCAGGTCCGGGGTGGTGGCCCGACAATCTGCATTTCTAACAAACTGCCAAGTCCAAGAACTGCATGGTGCTGCTGGCCCATGAATCACATTTGCAATAGCACTTTGAGAAATAATAGCTAATTGCTGGCCATAGAGTAGGGATCAAGGGAGGAAACAATACACAAAGGAAATCACAATTATTCAGGTTAAGGTGGGCACTTCTTATGTCTAATAGAGCTGGGGTACAGAGGTGTTATTTAATTCTGGTTTGTAGATGTTGATACCTACCCCGTTTCTATCAACGCAAGTCACAGTGGGAGTGTTGCTGGAGGCGCTCTGAAAAAAAATCACAGTATTTATGATGCAGGCGGACACTCAACCATCTCCACGGAGAGCAGGAAGGGGCCTCAGGGAGAAGGGACATTTAAAGGGGCTTGATTTCATTAATTTCATAATGCTTGACGCATTAGCATGAGAAAAACTAGGTTTAGTTCTGATTTAACTCTGTTCCTTAATGGACCAGAAAGATTATGACCCAGTTGTTGCAATGCAATAAAATAACTGATACACTGAATTGATTCATTCTGATTTTAGCTTCACCATCTGGTTAAGTTCCACAAGATGGGTATTATTTTCTCTAAAACTCAATAGGAGATGAGGTGAGGTTAACTCCAGCCAGTGCTGCTCACTTCCACGGGGACAGAGGTCACCTGAGAGCTTGCTAAAATGCAGATTCTGATGCAGGAGATCCGGGGAGGACCAGAGATGCTGCACTTCTAACCACTTTGCCCACAGGTGGTGCCTCACTCCTGGCCCAGACCACAGGGCAAGTGGATGGCCTGGACCAGGGCTGTCCAGCAGGGCTCTTGGCAGTGACAGATGTGTTCTGTAATCTGCGCTCTTCCATACGGTAGCTCCTTACCACATGTGTAAGGAATGGCATTTTAAATTTTATTTAACTTTAATTAATTAAAAGTTAAATTTAAGTAGCCACACATGGCTAGTGGCTTCTGCATTGGTAAGTGTGGGTCTAGTCAAGGCTTCACACATCAAGCATCAGCATCGCCTGGAAGGCGAGCTCACAGATGGCCAGACCCCTCCCAGCAGATCCTGCGTCAGCAGGTCCGGGGTGGTGGCCCGACAATCTGCATTTCTAACAAACTGCCAAGTCCAAGAACTGCATGGTGCTGCTGGCCCATGAATCACATTTGCAATAGCACTTTGAGAAATAATAGCTAATTGCTGGCCATAGAGTAGGGATCAAGGGAGGAAACAATACACAAAGGAAATCACAATTATTCAGGTTAAGGTGGGCACTTCTTATGTCTAATAGAGCTGGGGTACAGAGGTGTTATTTAATTCTGGTTTGTAGATGTTGATACCTACCCCGTTTCTATCAACGCAAGTCACAGTGGGAGTGTTGCTGGAGGCGCTCTGAAAAAAAATCACAGTATTTATGATGCAGGCGGACACTCAACCATCTCCACGGAGAGCAGGAAGGGGCCTCAGGGAGAAGGGACATTTAAAGGGGATTGATTTCATTAATTTCATAATGCTTGACGCATTAGCATGAGAAAAACTAGGTTTAGTTCTGATTTAACTCTGTTCCTTAATGGACCAGAAAGATTATGACCCAGTTGTTGCAATGCAATAAAATAACTGATACACTGAATTGATTCATTCTGATTTTAGCTTCACCATCTGGTTAAGTTCCACAAGATGGGTATTATTTTCTCTAAAACTCAATCTGTTCTAACCAAGAGGCAGAGTTTGAGAAAGAGTGACTTTGGTACCAGGGAGCTGAGGAGGGGTGTCCGGGAGGTGGCGGGGCTGTGGAAGAAGCCCTGCTGGGGGATGAGGTACTCCTCAGCATCCACAACGTCCTCCATGTCCTCCTCATCCATCAGGGCGCGGTAAAAGTTGGAGTCCGTAGGGCTTGGCAAATGCATTCTCTCATCCCCCTGGCACAGAGATCGTGAGACCATTAGAAAGGCCAGAGAACTCTTGTCCCACTCCCTTGCTATCGAGGTGTGGTCTGTGGTCAGCACGTTGCCTGTATATTTGCCAGTTTAGCTCTAATAACCCGCCCCCTTCCCCTGCTGGTTCTCCAAAATACACTTCCTCCTCCCTTCCCCCATCCCCCACCCCCTGCCTGAAATGAAACCCTGAAAATTCCCTGACGTCCCAAAGTCCTCAAAGGAAATGCAGACAGCTCAGGAGGTAAAAGGAGGTGCCGGAGGCACAGCCCTCACTGCGTGCTGTGCTATGTGCAGTAAAAAATGCACTTTTGTTTTTCGTCCCTGCTCCTGGCACAGAGCTCCTCAAAGTGAGTGTCACTCAATTATGTTCGACTCTTTGTGACCCCATGGACTGTAGCCTGGCAGGCTCCTCTGTCCATGGAATTCTCTAGGCAAGGATACTGCAGGGGGTAGCCGTTCACTTCTCCAGGGGATCTTCCCAACCCATGTCCGCAGGTGGACAGTGTCAGACTGAGCCGAATTGCAGGACACAGCTGGTGCTGGAGAAGTGCTTGCCTGGGGGTGTGGGGACCCGCCCCCCAAAACACACACATTCTGGAACTGCTTCAGGTGCTTTGCAATGCATTCTGCATTTATTATTTCACTGAATCTTTAAAACAGCTCCAGGAGCTTGGTTTTGTTAACCTAAAGTGGAGAGTCAAGAATCTGAAGCCAGATTTGCCCCACACCAAAGCCCTGGTTCCCCAGAAACCGATATGAAGCTTTGGCTAAAGGGACCATGAAGATGAGGGGGCGCAAGTGTGCAGGGCTCACACAGTGGCAGAGACTTGGGGGCCCCATGGTGAGCCTGACTTAGTCCACCTTGGCCTGTGCTTGCTCTAACGCCTGAGGGTTTCTGGTGTGGCCTGGGAGACAGGAAGCTGCGTCCCCGAGGTATTTCAGGGATGTGTGACCTCACTAGCAGGACCCTCCTGGGGAGGAGACGGGGAGTGGGCTGTACCTGGATGACAAGGTAGCGCTGGGGGTCTCGGGCCATCTTGGAGAATTCAAGGATCAACTCACGGAACTTTGGGCGACTGTCTGCATCTATCATCCAGCCTGGGGAAGGGAGGAGGGAAGTCAGTTCAGTTAGAACCCTGAAAGAACTGATAAAGATGGCATCCCTGAAAGTGGTTATGGGGGGACTCTTTAAGACAAATAAATGAGGATGAAACCTAATCTTTGTGACAGGTTTTTCAGTCTTGGCAAGCAGGCACTGATTACTGTTTAAAGACCATGATGACCTCACATATTTGAGTCAGAATGGCAATGACACGCTCTGATTTCCTGCACCTCCCCTTCCAAGGGTCATTACAGTGTCATCATCTTGAGTGACCCAGCAGCCGTATGACAGGCTTCACTTTCTGTGAACTGCTCTGACTGTAGGGAGCCCTGGGTCTCGACTCTCCGTAAAGTCCTCACTTGACATTCAGCCTCATCCACATTCACTCAGCAGTCTAGTAAGTTGGAAACCAGATTGAGGGAAATTTAGGAACTTTCTTAAGAACCTCAGGGCTTAGGAATGCCATTCCCTTGCATTTCATTGTATCACACTCAGCAATCAGACATGCGTGTGAAGGATGCTCAATGCCTTTGCGTGGAGGATACTCCTGTTGACCAAGCCACTGCATCTGATGACACAATGATCCAGGTCTAGATTAAACATGCTGGAGGAACTAGAAATCCCCATGACCCTGAGAAGTCATATTTATTTTCTATCAGCAGGATGTCAAGCTATTTTAGGCCAGGCTGCTATGTGACCTCAGAGAAATCATGTGACCTCCCTGGATATCAGCTTCCTCAACCTAAAGCAGGGAAGTCACAATTGATTAACTCTGTGGTCTAAAGTTCAGAAAGGCTCAATACTGACAGGGATTTGGCTCTCTCACATTCCCTGGGCAGCTTTCTGCCTAAATTCTCATCATGCATGTAACATAACCCCCAGAGCCTACGGAACTTGGGATCCTGACAGCGTAGTAGTGTCACAATCAAGCCATACACTCTTACTTGGATTACAAGGTTTACCTCTTACACTGCAGAAGGCCTTACATAAACCCACTATCTGAAAGGTTTAAGTCAAAGCAGAAGTGTTGATTCTACTAATCTCATGTGGCTAGTCACTGTTAGGCATTTAAAAACAGTCTCTCTGGTAACAGGCTTCAAAATGTGGGGCAGGTTTTTCATTGAGCAACTTTGAGAGAAGAGTGTTGGTATAACAGCTTCTGGGGGATTTTGACTTTACTTGTTTGCTTAAAAACATCAGCTCACAATGCTCAGTGTGACATTAGCTCACAGTGCTCAGCGTAGCAGGTAAGTGCTTCTGGTACAGTGCCCTGAGAGGGGGTTGACGAATGTGCCTGCCTAAAGGCTGTGACAGAGTGTCTGAGGGAGTCTAAGACCCGGGGATGTGGCTCAGGGCAGCCCAGCGACAGACCCAGCTGGCCACTCACACTTGACCATGATCATGTAGACGTCGATGGTGCAGATGGGTGGCTGCGGGAGGCGCTCTCCTTTCTCCAGGACAGTTGAGATCTCACTCGCAGGGATTCCATCGTAAGGCTTGGATCCAAAGGTCATCAACTCCCAAACAGTGACTCCTATGAGGAAGAAGCGGTTGCTTTATGAGTCAATAATAATCACAGCATCTTGTCTTTAGTCATCATTGTTGACATACTGTTTCCAATGTTTAAAAACCCCTGTGTCGGTGGCCTTGGGCAATTTACTCGATGCTGGAAGCCTCAGTTCATCGTCTGTCTCATAGAACGGTTGTGCGATCAAACAAGATAACACAACTTCAATGTTCAGATAATGCCAGGCAAACAGTAAATAGCCAATAAAGAGCAAACTTTAGTAATAACAGCAAAAGACACCACCTCTCTGAGACATGCCTGGTCTATGGAGCAGGAGTTACACAGTCAGACGTGTGGCCCAAGAGACTTAACCAACTATAAACTGTGTTTTTAAAGAATAAAAAAATTGGAGATAAAAACTTCTGTGTTCCTTTAGATAAATATAAAAACTCCATATTTTAAATTTCAACATCAATCAATCACCATGATTAAAACATTAACGCAAGAGTACTGTCAGAACTGGTGTTTTTTCAGGCTGTTCTGAAGTTCTGATGGGCTTCGACCTCCACGCCTCCCTTGACGGCATTCTCTGCTCCAGAAACACACAAATGTGATGAGCGGTCTGTCCCCACCTGACAGCACGATGCCCTGGGTGCCACTAGTGATGAGCCCAGTGGGACTGAGTCTGGAGTCCCCAGACCACACAGGGAGGGACCAGACACAGGAAGCCAGTGCCGGGGGTGGTTCCTAATCTCCAACTAGTCTACCGACCCCTTCTCTTTAGAATGGACCTCTAAATTCGTATCACCATGGATCTGCAAGGTGGATTTTCCAAAGGCCATTCCAAAACGGAATGACCTGAATTAACATGCAGAATGCAAGGTTGAAGAATGAAGAAAAGCAGTGGTCCAGGGACAAGAAAATATTAATAATCCTTCTGTCCTTCCTACCACAGAGTCATTATGGACTTGATCAAAAAAAGAAAATCTCATGTCCAGGTCTATAGTCAGTTAATTCTAACTAGGTTTAAACATTGCATTTAAACACATATACAATAACTTCCTAAAGGAAGGCAAGTTTTTCAGGTTTTGGGACAAATGGTGAAAGAAGACCGTGTGTATGCCTGGCTGTGGGGTGTGAGTAGGGTTGGAAGTTGGTATGAATTCTCTCCCTTTTCAACTGGTAAGTGAAACATACAGGTTCCTGACTAAAATATCTGGCCTTGACTAGAGTCTAGAGAGCAGAGTAACAGGACATGTTTTTTAAACTAAAAATTCAGGTTCATATTGTAACAATTCTGATGTACTGCCAGAACAGCAGATTGTAATCACTGACAGCACAATTTCCACTGAGATGAAAAACACAGCCCCTGGGCTGACGCTGACTTTCTGATGCTGGTTACAACCACTCAAAGGGATTAAGTCACCGCATTTGAGAGTTTTCATTTACTGGGCAGATGTGGCCCTGCAGTCTGCAAGTGGGCACATGGGGCGAGGGGAGAACACAGCTGGGCAGCTGGGAAAGGCAGGGGCCCATACCACTTGACCGCGGTCAGGGCCTCAGGTTTTATGTGGAACGTATTTGGAAAATGAAAGAAGGAGGTTAAGCAGAGAAGTAAAAGTCTAATGCAGTTTAAAATATTTTTGCTAGCTGCTGGAGAATAGATGAGTGAGTGCAAAACAAGCCCAGAGAAGACCCAGGAGGAGCCCCTGCGTACTGTCGCTGGAACAGGGCTGTGTGGCGACAATGATGATGACAGGTCTGGGCAGAGCCACAAACAGGAGAAGCAGCATTTCTTCCTGTCCCTCCAGGGGAGCACACACTTCTTGAACATGGCTGAAAGTAACAAGGTATCAGAATAGCTTTATTTCCTTATCTAGTTCATCAATTGTAAGCAGCTCAGCTCACAGGTATAAATGAAAACTCACATATTCATTCACAAAGACTTCTGTCTTCATAAAGCTTATATTATAGCCAGAGAGAGAGACAAAGACCCATGAAATTCTTAAAAATTTAATCGGAATATTAGGAAGTTAATAATGTTGTGAAAGAAATGCTAATCAGGGAGAAATGCTAATCAGATATCAGGGAGATATCCTGAATGATTCTGTTTTTGTGATAATGAAAGCATTCCTGTTGGGAACTCCTTATAACATTGCTCTCCTCAAATACATGTTCTATGGGTGGGTGATTCACCTCTATTGCTTTGATAGCTGGGATAGACTGATGTTCACCATTCAGTGCAGACCAGCTGTTTTGCTGCCTTTGGGCTGACTTGGCAGTATGGGGGTGCTGACTGCAGTAACAGGGGGAAGCACCCAGCACAGCAACCAGTGGGAATGCTTTCCTGAAAGGTGAGGCCCTTGAAGGCCCAGGAGCCCCTCTGACAGAGAACAAGATAAGAGCATGAAAGGCGTGTCTGAGGAGAGGGAAGCTGGGCAGAGGACGTGGCCCGCAGGCCACATGGGATTTGGAGGAAGAAAGAAGCAGATCCTGGTGAGACAGCCTTCATGAGAGCTGGAAGCAGCAGCTACTTCCCTTTCCTCATATTTCCCCAAAGACACACTCTCACAGTGCGTTTTGTCAAGCCATTCTCTCTGATACACAAAGATAACCACTCAGTACATGGAACCGCAGCCACCAAGTTAGTCCACTATAGAACCACACTCTCTACCGGAAACACTTCACACGAGACCTGATGTCATCTCCCTTTGGTGCACTTCAAATTCACAGCAAGAGGTTGTACCTGCTTGACTAGGTACAATCATTTCCCAGGTTCACATTCTTTCCCTCTTGTTCCTCTCTCTCCTGACAAGCTCAGTGTTACCTCCAGTGACGCTTAGGATGGTAGTTAGACTCAATTTCCCTTTTCATGTTTTCAGTTGTAACAGCCTGACAACAACGATGACGCGATTGTTAGTCACTGTCTCGCATGGCAGCGTGTATAATGCACATCAACAGCGCAAGCCAGCAGTCTCGGCCTTGATTCACCAGCCTCAGGATTCTGACTCACCGTAGCTCCAGACATCACTCTGATGGGTATAAATTCGGTGTAAAATTGATTCCAAAGCCATCCATTTGATAGGGACCTTGGAATGATGAGAGATAAAAGTAATAAGACAACTATTAGCTTCCTTCTATTGAAAAAAAAAATGACAAAGGGAGAAATTGCAAATGACAAAGGTGAGAAAACCAGGCCACCTGCAGACTGCCCCCCAGGCCCAGGGCTCCTTCCCAGCAGGAGGAGAGGTTTGTCTGGCAGAGGACAGGGTCTCTGTCAGACCCCAGGACAGAGGAGGGCCTCTGGTCTGTGTGTGGGCTCCTCTGCTGAGCTGGGTGCCTGGGCTGGGAAAGGGGACCCTGGTCGTGCTGTGTTTGTGGTGGCTTGCAGAGCCAGCTGCTTGGAGTCATGCCAGCCAGTGTGAAACTGAAGAGATGTACAGCTGATCTAGAGTGTTCTGAAGGGTGTATCGGGAGACCTGCATCCCTCACTGCTGGGAAAGCCCCCTGGAGAAGCCAACTCCGTCATGGCCAGCGCCCCTCAGGAGGTCCTGGAACAATCACAGGAAACTTTCCTTGCTGCCAAATCAGCTATGACATTTCCAGATGTTCTTCTGAAGGGTTTACCCTGGAGCAGGAGGTGGAAACCTAACTTTGGCTAATAGTCCCCTAGAGATGAAGGTGAACTCACATTTACTGCCTCTGGGTTCTGGGTGTGTCAGAAACATCTCCATTCACTTTCCCAGGAAATCCTTCTCCCCAGGCAGCTCTGGAGCCTGGCTAGACCCAGTGCTGGTGGCACTGTGACCTCACGCAGTAGGTCCTGAGAACGGCCCTGAGTTGCTCAGTCTGCTTCAGGGGAGTGCGTGCCTGTCTACAAGCCAGCCCCTCACCTTGCCTCCTTCTGCGTGATATTCCTTCTCCTCGGCACCCAGCAGCTTGGCCAGCCCAAAGTCTGTGATCTTCACGTGCTGCGGCGTCTTCACCAGCACGTTCCTGGCCGCCAGGTCCCTGTGCACCAAGCGCCGGTCTTCCAGGTAATTCATGCCCTGAAACACAGGGCCACACGGGAGGGATGGGCGTCTCGGTGCAGCATTCAGTGTCACGCAACAGCACCTGGCCTGAAGTCTACCCGTGGGCGAACTGCCCTCCGCAGACGCAGTGACTTGGAGCTGGCAACATTAGTGACCGCTGGTCCGCTCCAAGGATGAAGAGGTAAAGTGGCAAAGGTAGAGCTGGCTTGCTAACTTCTCTCCATCCAGTTATTCAAGTTTCAAGCTCAAATGAACAGTGGAAGAGGCCAGTGACAGAGAAGGAGCCCCACTGTAGGGCCAAAACCTGGCCACACGCTACCCAGAATGGCTGCTGCCTCTTGCCCGGCCTGGCTACCCTGGGCCAATTCATATGGGGCACTGCCTCCCCAGGACCCAGGGCCCTCATCACACTGTCCTGGCCTAACTTACATGCTTCACTACCAGTGAAGGTTTTTGTCCAGTTTTATTTTTCTCTCTTTTTAAACTGAAATCACAGGGCTATTGAACTTGCTTTTACAAAGTACCAATCCCCACCCTCTCCCTGGCTGCCTCCATAACTGTTCTAATCAGAATCAAGGCTGTAACGATGCAAAAGACCTGTATGCAGAAAACTATAAGATACTGATGAAAGAAATCAAAGATGACACAAACAGATGGAGAGAAATATCATGTTCTCAAATGGAAATAATCAATATTGTGAAAATGGCTATACTACCCAAAGCAATCTAAAGATTCAATGCAATCCCTATTAAGTTACCAATGGCATTTTTCACAGAATTAGAACAAAAATTTTACAATTTGTATGAAAACACAAAAGACTTCGAATAACCAAAGGAATCTTGAGAAAGAAAAATGGAGTTGGAGGAATCAGGCTCCCTGACTTCAGACTATACTAGAAAGCTACAGTCATCAAGACACTATGGTACTGGCACAAAAACAGAAATATAGCTCAATGGTATAGGACAGAAAGCTCAGAGATAAACCCATGTACCTACGGTCACCAAATCTATGATAAAGGAGGAAAGACTATACAATGAAGAAAAGACAGCATCTTCAATAAGTGATGCTAGGAAAACTGGACAGCTACAGGTAAAAGAATGAAATTAAAACACTCCTAATACCATACACAAAAATGAACTCAAAATGGGTTAAAGAACTAAATGTAAGGCTCGCCACTATAAAACCCTTAGAGGAAAACACAGGCAGAACACTCTTTGACATAAAGCATAGCAAGATCTTTTTGATCTACCTCCTAATGAAGATACAAACAAAAATAAACAAATGGGATTTAATTAAACAAAAGCATTGGCACAGCAAAGGAAATCATAAGCAAAACCAAAAGACAGTCCTTAGAATGGGAGAAAATATTTGCAAATGAAGCAACTGACAAAGGTTTAATCTCCAAAATGTATAAGCAGCTGATGCAGCTCAATATAAAAAAAACAAGAAACCCCATAAAAAACAGGGGGGTGGGTGGAGATCTAAATAGACATTTCTCTAAAGAAGACATACAGGTGGCATGAGGCACATGAAAAGACGCTCAACATTACTAATTATTAGAAAAATAAAATTTAAAACTACAATGAGGTATCACTTCACACCAGTTGGAATGGCCATTATCAAAAAATCTATAAACAATAAATGTTGGAGAGGGTGTGGAGCAAAGGAAACCCTCTGACACTATTGGTGAGAATGTAAATTGGTGCAGCTACTATGCAGAACAGTATGGAGGTTTCTTAAAAAACTAAAAATAGAGGTACCACATAACCCAGCAATCTAAGTTATGGGCATAAATCCAGAGAAAATTATGATCTGAAAGGATGTATGAATCTCAAAGTTCACTGCATCACTATTTATAATAGCCGGGACATGGAAGGAGCCTAAATGTCCATCAACAGAGGAATGGAAAAAGATGTGGTACATTTATACTGTGGAATATTACTCAGCCCATAAAAGGAATGAAACGCCATCTGTAGAGACGTGAATGGACCTGGAGATGGTCATACAGGATGAAGCAAGACAGAAAGAGAAAAACAAACACTGTGTAATATAGTGGACTCTAGAAAATGGAACAGATGAACTTATTTGCAGAGCAGATACAGAGGGTCCGATGTAGTGAACAAATGCATGGAAAGTAAGTGGGAAGGGATGAACTGGGAGACTGGGATTGACCACGCACTACTATATGTGAAACAGATAAGTGATGCGAACCTCCTGTGTAGCACAGGAAACTCTACTCAAGGATCTGTGGTGGCCTTGATGGGAAGGAATCTAAGAGTGGATATATGTGTACATGTAACTGACTCACTTTGCCGTATAGCAGAAACTATCACAACATTGTAAAGCAATCATGCTCCGATTAAAAAAAAAATTTGCTTTTCTCAAATTGCTTCTATTCTCAAGAGAGCCTCAGTAGTTTATCTGGAGAAATCTTAGATATTATTTATTACTCATAAAACTGTAATTCTTTTCCCATTAACATCATCAGTATTTGAGTAATATGCCAATATGCATAGAAATCTAGAAAAATTCAGATTAATGTTTAATGTATGTGTTACTGATATTACAAACACTTGTTTACTGCCAGGCTTTGATGTTAAGAGATGACTTTGATATTTACCCCACCCTGCTCCCTGACCACCTACTAGCCCAAAGAGGATATTACTCTCTACATACACTTCCCTGGGTTCATGATTTATATACAGAGGGAAATGCAGTCTGCCCTATAAATTGCCACGAGGCCTTCAGAATGAACAAATCTGAGGAATTAATCTGTGCTGAAAATTGTCCTCTCTTTGGATACGATGAATCACCGATAGTTCTCTTGGTTGTTCCAGCTGTGAAAGCTCTTATAACCTTTCATTCTATCTTCACAGAATAAAACGAGTTAATTTCATTCTATCTTCACAGAATAAAATGAGTTAATTTCATTCTATCTTCACAGAATAAAATGAGTTAATTTCATTCTATCTTCACAGAATAAAATGAGTTAATTTCATNTGCCCTTCCTCCCCGACAGGTGGGGTCACTTCCTGCCCCTACTTCTGGCTTGATGCCCGCCCAGATGAGCTAAACTCCTTGGATCCTCCCAGGGTCTAACCTGCTGTCACAAGCTTGGCAGCCCTTGCTCTTGAGCCAGGCCTGGCAGGCAGGAGAAGCCTGTGCTGTTGGGACCACATTCTCTTCTGCTTATTCACAGAAGCACCTCTCCTCTCTCCAGTCAGGGAAGTGGACCACAGGTCCAGCCTCCTTTACAGCTGACACTCATGAACTCTCTAGCGAAGGGCAGGCACCATGGAAATGCTTATTGAGGGGCAAAAAACAGAAATGAATGGGTTCAACCAACTCTTTATTACTCTTGAGCTTCTTGTACACAGCTCTCTTCATTTTAGTGCAAGTGCAGGGAACACCTGTAGATAAGAGTAGATCCCAAATTTTCTAGCAAATTCTTTACTTCCTTTTGATACATAATAGGTAAAAACTAAAAATTAACTTGTCATATCAAAGCAAAATGAAAAATTAGGAAGATGAGTGAGTGAATGAAAGTCACTCTTTTCGTCCGACTCTTTGTGATCCCATGGAGTCCTACCAGGCTCCTCTGTCCATGGAATTCTTCAGGGGATCTTCCCAACCCAGGGATCGAACCCAGGTCTCTTATAGGCAGATTCTTTACTGTCTGAGCCCCCAGCGAAGCCCCATAAGATAGGGTCTTACAAAGACATTACCAGGAATTAGTCTTGGAGGGCTATTTTTGCGGCCTTTCGTGTTTTTCTTTCTTGGAAAAAGGTGACTGATTTCCAAGTCTCCTCTGTATGATTTAGAAAGCTCCTGAATGTTGAAGATGCTGTTTGATTTAAATGCTTCCCTTCCTAAGATTTCTCAGGTGCCAGGAAGTAAGGTTAATCGGCTCATGTCTACTCAAGAGGAAACTGGCAGGTGCTTCCCTGGAGCAGCACTTCCAGGTTAGGAATAGTTATTTAGGGATGGAGCATGGAGACGGAGAAAGCAGCAGGGCTTCCAAACACAGGAGGAAGGTGGCTCCTCTCCACCTTCGCGGGGTTTCGAGCATCAGCCTTGTCCCCTGCGGGGTTCACTAAGCCCACAGGGAGGTCAGCGGAGGGCATTTCCAGCTGCAATTAACGACCAGTGTGAACCTCCACTCTGCCTCTTTATAGGCCCAATAGAGAATCCGGTACACAGGATACATTTTTTAATAACAGCTTGTTGAAGAAGAATGAGGGGGTGAATGAGTGATAATGGCAGCTGACAGTTCCAAGTCAGGCATGGCAAACTCACCTGCAAAGAAACCTCTCCAGGTACTGCCAGGCCCAGCACCCGCACAACTGCCCTGAGAGATGACCCAGGTCCCGAGGCTGAGCTGGTGCTACACAAACCAAGTGTTCTGAGGCCACCATTGGGACTGTGTCCATAATTTCATTCTGGGGTCTCCAAGTGAAACTTGCCTGCTGCCACAGAGACTGTCAAATGCCAGATGCTCAGATGCCAGAAAATACCCCAACACCCCAGCATTTTGTTCAGTTCACTCAAGGTGTCCGAATCTTTGTGATCCCATTAATTGCAGCATGCCAGGCTTCTCTGTCCATCACCAACTCCTGGAGCTTGCTCAAACTCATGTCCATCGAATCAGTGATGCCATACAACCATCTCATCCTCTATCATCCCCTTCTCCTCCTGCCTTCAATCTTTCCCAGCATCAGGGTCTTTTTAATGAGTCAGCTGTTCCCATCAGGTGGCCAAAGTAGTGGAGTTTCAGCTTCAGCATCAGTCCTTCCAATGAACACCCAGGACTGATCTCCTTTAGGATGGACTGGTTGGATCTCCTTGCAGTCCAAGGGACTCTCAAGAGTCTTCTCCAACACCACAGTTCAAAAGCATCAATT